CATTATTTAAGGATGCTTATATCGTCTAAACAGTCAAGCTGAAATAAATCTGTTTCGTATAGCAACAGCATGAACAAATCTCGATCTTCACCATAATTGTTTGGCGAAAATCAAACATGTAAATTCCATAACTGGTGAAGTATGTCAGCCATCATGTCATGATCATATCAGTACTATTACTACGATAGCTTGAGCGTTTGTTATACGGTAAATTGTAAATTGTAAGGAGTTCGGTATAAGAATCGGTTGGGGCTGAGAGAGTGAGAAAACGGCCGACTTCTGGTATTAAGAGATATTAGCACTACGTGTTGACAGAATTGTTGGAAGAGTGGCAGCCTTTTCAAGCTCATCGGATTTGGAACCTACAAGAACCTCTTTGATCGCGAGACGTTTTAATCCGATGTAAGGAAAACAGGTGTGATTGGCGTGGTTTGGGGAAAGATATGTATAAGATACGGCTATCAGAAAGAGAAAACAAAAAACCGGCTGAGCGAAAGCAAGGAATAAACCAAAAGAGAGATAGCAGAAGAAAAATATGGTGCAAATAAGAACCAAAAGTTTTCTTATTTGTTATTGTATATCCGATAGAAATAATTAAAAACTTTAATGAAGTTGAAGGGAAAACGACGTGCTAGTATAGAAACTGCCTACAGATTATTGTAGCCAGAAGTCAACCCACAACATCCACTATAACAAAAATAAAATTTTTATTCGCTGTATACGCAATAGCCACTTATTTCTTACTCAGTTATCTACATTATGGGTACATTAAACAGATTTCTTCATGTGCAATACAAGAGAGCAAATAGGTCTAATCTGTTAGATCTACACATACATAGTGTTGCTACTGTCAGGTAGATATGTATTCATAAAAATGGAAACTTGAATCCAATCAATATCTAGTTTTCCTTCTTCTTTTTTTTTCTTTCGACAATATTAAGAGAGGCCACATAAATATGTAAGTGCAGCCATTTTGCTTTAAAGTTTAAACCAAATAAAAGTTAGAATATTTCACTAGTATAAGTAGAGAACATTTACATAATAAATTACAGTACGATTTTTCCAGAGAGCGAACGTTATCAGAATTAATTGTAGAGAGTGTTTTTTTTTAAAGATTAAAATAGAAATAAACTGACCTCCTCTTCCAAAATGAATTCTGCAAAAAAAATATGTAAAAGCTTAGCATTGAAAAGGAGTTTAGTATAATGTAAGGTACTTAGTGTTATCAATCTGAAAAAAACCATGTGCAACACATGAAATAAACGGTCATATCAAAGATCCCAAGGTTCAGCCATAGCCATCTCTAATTTAGAGCTGTTGACCAATAGGGGTTCTAAGCTCGACACTCAATCTCCTAGGAGACTACTGGCTCATTGCGTAATGCAGGAAGTTCCTAGTGTTTCACTCTTGAAATCTTTCATCAAACATTACAGTACAAATGACTGATATTGGAAACTAATTGTTGGATAGTCATATATCTTTTTTGTACAGTGAAACTAATGTGAGAACTAATCAGAATCTCTATCTATAAAACCTGACAACCTTGTAATTAAATTCATTATTTGTATTGGATAAGCCAATGTTAGACTAAATTTTGAAATTATATCTTAAGAAATGAAATGGCGGATTCTAACCAACACAATCTTCTTGACCTTGCTTTTTACTTCACTTGTATAATTAAATCAGAGTAAAATCCTGAAAACAATTATCTCGATAAGCAGTTAAAAAGAAGAAGAGAGATACAAGCAAACGACCTTAATTTATTACATTGTGTTTTCAGGACTGTATTAATTGGATTAGAAGCAGGTTAAATAGATTTTGATATGATTGTGCTGGTATAACAATGTAAAGGAATTAATGGTTTAGATTAAAATATATATTCTATTCTAATGATTTATTCGCAATTTTCATTACCACTGGAATCGCTGGCATGAAAAAACAAACTTTTTAGAGATTTCTTTTTAATGCAATAATTTTGAAAGTTTCGCATTATTAGCTATGCCGATGAATTAATGGTACTGAAATCACAACATTTATTGTCATGACATTACTAAAATAATTATTAGAAAAAGTTATCATTTATATATTTCCAAAACCATTTTTGTCTTGATAGCAGCAAATGTTATACTACACGGTTCAAGGTTGTTGAAACATTTTTAATAACTTTAGGTTTTGTGTTCAGTTTTTAAAATATTTCATACAGATTAGAGGAAATATACATGGTATAAAAATCAATATTTGGAAAAGTATGAATTTGTCCTTCACCAAAGAAAAATCTAATTCGTATTATAAAGTAATTTTAAGAATATATCTTTTTTTGTCATCTGACTAATCATTTTAATTACAACTTTAAATTAGTGTGATGTGTATATAAATCAATATTATTGTTAGTATTATTTCGTGATCATGTTGTTTGAATGATTAAACCTCATGTAAAATAGTTTCCATTATTTTTATCCAATAAATTAGAGAGTAAGATTATAAATATATATATATATATTTACAATTTATGAAATTGCAGCTTTTTGTAAATACAACCCTTTGGAAATGAAACTTCAAAACGTATTCACTTTATATTTAGCTCGTAGTTCATCGTACTTTAAATATATCTAGAATTACAGTAGTGACTTCAAACAAATTAGGTAAAAGGGCACCACTGTGATTATATGTACAGTTCATATGTTTATTTCTTTTATACAAAGACACGTTGGGATATCTATTGTGTCCATCGCGGGAATCAAACTCGGACTTTAGCTTTGTAACTCCGTGAGCTTACCGCTGTCTCACTAGGGGACTATATATACAGAACATAACTTTTACCACATTTGATCTAAGTGATCTAGTGCTACTGTTCTTATGTTTCTGAACAGATCTAAGCCCTATAACATTACACACAAAAGAACAACTCAACATAATTTATAAATTAATGAAAATATTCAGTCAAATGTAGTAAAATTATTTTTCTCTTATTATTATTGAAGTGGAAAAAAGAACAGTAAAAAAAAGAGTACATACAATACGGGCATACCACTTTATACCGATTGTTCTGAAATAAACAGTGCACCTGGTTTTGACAAGAGGATGTATTTAAGTTACATTACTATGCTGCTAAAATTTGTTTTGGTTTCATTATCCTGTAAATACTTTAAAATTACTACCAATACTGTCAAAAAGACGACAATAATATCTATCCAACATTTTATTTGATTTATTTTTTCATATTACTTTAATTAAACTAAAATATACACGTTCTAATAAAATTAAATGATTTTCTACCTATCTGCTCAGCTAATAAAATAAGTCCATAATTTGTTTAAAACAAAACAAGTTTATCTAAAAGTAATAAAAACATAATTATGGAAATTAAGGTTTTCAATTTGAAAAATTGTAACTTAAAACAAATAGTATTGATATCTGACCAAATCTCTTCTCACGTACAATAATAGCATAATTAGGAAGTTGTTGTATAAAGTAGTGATATCTACAAATAAAAGAGAACCAAGTTCCATAAAGGCCCAGCTTTGTAAACATGGAATCTGCAAAAAAATGAGACAAATCCTATGATGATGTACACGTTAAATTTTTAGCCTTCACTATGTGTTTCTTTATATTTTTATGATTTTAGAAAATTAGGATGCTAATTTTAAATCAAAAATATATTTTCTCAGAAAAATGGCCAGCGTATTTGTAAAATGGTAAATTAAATAGACGGAAAAAAGCATTATAATCCTGCCTGTGACCCTGACGATCTTTGCTTCGGTCTGTCAAAAGAATAATTTAATTCTTAAATTTGTAATATTTTTTTACAATATTGATTTATTTCTATAGTCTAACGAAGAATAATAGAAGCTGTGAGATTAACATCATCGCCCTTGTCTTTAAGAAATTAGATCAAGGTTAAGCAGGAACGAAGAATACCGTCACTAACCACACCTTGTTTCCTCCAGCCGCTCTGTGCCAAGCACAACTGATACAAACGTCTCTGTCTATCGTTGTAACAAGCATCTTGAGATCACAACTTTTACCTTGAAATGCGCGCTTTTTATCTAAATAATAAGCTGTTCTAATACTTTGGGAAAATAACTAACAAAACTCTTTTTATAATAATTAATTGTCTTAGATATTTTTGTTTAGAGAGAACGTAGAGTATAAA